TCCATGGGCTGAAGGAAAGATAAAGCTGTATTGCGGAGAGAAAACTAATTATTCCTTCTTGTGTGACAGCTCTGGCAACGACAGACCGCTACCACCATTTTTTGGCCTGAGCGTTGTTCAGAAAACAATAAAGTGGCATCCCGCCCTGGGTAATGGAATAAAAAGCAGAGGTCGGGGAGTAGATAAAATGGGAGAAGCCCAAGGCTGCAGAGGGCTGACCCAGCTCTTCTCTGGTCAGCATTTTCACCCCCAGAGAACGCGGTTCTCCGGCCACAGCCCGGCACGGAGGCGAACGGACACACACGGGTGCGGGACAGCACCGAACCGGCCAAGGGACGGTGTCCTCCAGCAAACACTTACCTGCCTTAACCAGACCTGCCTTAACCCGGTCATGCCCCAGGAGTGTCGGCAGCCCAGGGCCCGGGCAGGATTGCGGCTCCGTGTGGGTGTAACAAGTCGGGTACGGGGAGGCCAGGAGCAACCAGCCTGGGACAGACGCTATCCAGGGTCCGTTTTCCTGAGAGCAGCAGCATACACAAGAGGAGGTGGGGGATCTGCCTTGTTATTTTGGGGCATTCCTTGGTGTTGCTTCTTGCAAACTAGTCCCAGACTCCTCTTGTTTTCCCTCAGCTGTGTGGTGTTACCCAGCTTTCCCCCGTTTGCAGTTTTTAACGAGGCACATGCAGTGAAAAGCCCTTCCCAGCCAGAGCTTTACTGTTTTGCCATTTCCAAAGGCATTGGGCGTAATGGCACAATAACTGACTTCATGGAGCAATGTGCCCGGAGCAAAAACACACCCGGGGGGAAGAGAAATGTATAAGAAATAAATTATTTCAAAATGCCAGGTAGAAATATTACCCTCCATTTCTTAAAACCCCAGCATGGGAGCACAGGCACCCCCTCCATCGCGCCCGCCATTTCTAGCGGTGCAGATACTGCTTGCCCAGCCATCGAGACCAGGGGCGGTAACGGACATATTCAGTGTAGGGGCCAATTAGCAGCTTTTACCTGGCCGGCTGCCACTGAGAGGGACTTGGATACTTCTCAAGTGCCATGAAGCGCTCGGAGAAGGGCAGTGGGAAAGGTCTGGAGCACGGAGGGGGAGCTGTGAGAGCTGCATCTCCTGGCTCCGGCAGCACGCCGCGAGTCAGGGTTACAAAACACGAACACCCCGTGTCGCATAGCGAGAGTCAGTGTCACCGGCTCCGCTGGCTACGGTTATGCGACGTGACCCCAGCAGAGTAATTTCACCTCCAGCCCTGCGGAGCTCGGGAGCGGTACACGGCACCGGCCTCTGCCCCCGCCTGCCTGGGCATTCCCGACCCTCTCCTTCCATCCGGAGCATCGCACCAGACGTCTAAAGGGAAAAAAGACTTGCTCAAGACCTGCTGCTTTTTCCACGATGAAGCAGCTAAAGCAGAAACAGCAATTATCTGGTTCAGTCTGGTGCTGCTGGCCTGGAACATGCCATGACAACGTGTTTCTTGTTTCAAAGCCTCTTTTGTACTAGGACACAGTTCAAGGGATCTTGCAATGCCTGCATTTGTAAACACGCGGCACTTGCAGCTACACGCTTTGCAGATGGAAAGCCAGGGCAGAGCAGAAGGGCACTTCTCCCCGCCGTGGCCGTGTCATGGCTGGGGGAAGCGCTCCCCCTCGGCTCGGTGTCTGCAGGCGGACGTGCTGATTCAGGGACTCGGGAGCCCTGGGGCTGGTTAACCATGCATGGTCCTCAAAAGTCACGGCACGTTCAGAAAAATGGAGTCCTGGAAAAGAAAAAAAAAAAAGGGGGGAAAAAAAATCACAGCAAAAAATGTGCGTCACTGCAGATTATTTTAGGCCCTGGTCCATGCATAATGCAAATAAGCAGCTCCCGGGGTACATGCCTGTAAAAACCATCCAGTGCCACAGCACTCAGTTATAGGAGCTTTCCAAACAGGTGGTGAAAGGCTAAAATTATGTGTCTCCGTGTCCTCACGGGGGTTAGGAAGGGCCCTCGCATTCAGGAAGGCGCTTATCCTACCTCCACAGGGCTGGTATAAAACGGGACCGAGACATCAAAAAATTCAAGAGCATTTCTTTCCTTCTGAGGCAATCCTGCGCTCGTATTAACCAAACCACACTCAGCATCTCCACCATCTCCTTTGATCTGCTCCGGACCAGGCTGCCTCCTCATACTCACTCTTCACGCACTCTGGCTTTATTTTTTTGCTTTTTCTAAAAATCGTCGTACCCTCCTTGCCTTTCTTCAAGGAGTCGCTCGGGAAGCCCTATTTATGGGTTGAAATGCTGCTGAAAGAGTTATTGCCATGTTATTCAGCTGTTGTGCCAAGCCTGCATGGGGATCGGGTTTCTGCTGAAAGGGTGCCAGGCACGTCTTTTTCCAGGAACCAGCAGCCGTATTTAGCCTCCGGCTGCACATGAAAGACTGCAGTCGGAAACGTGACATTGTGTCAACATTTGAGGCAGGTCAGAGCTGGGTGAGACCATGAAAACAAGTCCCCGGGAACTCGGCACGGGCTGCCGGGACCTGGCTCTGTGCCGGAGCTCGGCCCCTCCATCGCCTTCCTCCATCGCCTTCCTCCCTCGCCCCCTCGCCGCTTTCTCCCACCGGGATGCAGCGTTGCCGGCTCTGCCCCGCAGGCGATGCTGCGGTGGGACGGCGGTGGGGCATCCCCGCAGCGGGCAGAGAGGGACGGCGAGGGGCCGGGGAGGGGGGGCTGCCCGAGCTCCGGCGTGGGGGTCTGCAGGCAGGGCAGCCCCCGCTCCGCGCCGCCGGCCGGGGACGGCCAAGGGCCACTGGACCCCGCTCTGCCCCGGAGAACTCACTTGTCCCGCTGGCACCGGACCAGGGTAGCGGAGAAAAGCCCCAGCCCGTCATTAGCCTTCGCTTCCTCTATAAACCTTATCTCTTCCACTTTTTTTTTTTTTTTTTTACAATTTTTTTTTCCACCCTGACTGAGGAGCTGGAGCTTCTGTGAGTCCTCCCACCATACAACAAGGTGGGTCAGAAGATGGAGACTGGAGGGGAGTGAGAACCGTGGCAACGAGCCAGAAATCCAGCCGCTAACGAGACTGTAAACGCTGCCGCGCTGAGCACCAAATGCTGTCCCCAAAATGGGGTTACTTAAGTTGTCTTCAGCGAGATCAATATTTAGACCTAATTAAAACAAACACAACATAAACATCAGGAGGTGTGGAGTCCCCAAATAAATTAATACGAGCTGCCCTGTATTTTTGTCTAGCACGACTTAAGCTGGCATTACTTTAAGCTAACGCTAACCGCAGTCCAACAGCAGCCCCCCAGGCACCCCCTTCTCCTCCAGTGGGGTCCCAGGACCGAGCAGTGCTCTCCCCGCTGGGCATTTAACCTCTTGCCACGTTCTGTGATTCATCTGCGTTGTGAAAATCCAAAATCTCCCGCAGAAGCGCCGATGCCCCATCCGCACGTAGGCAGCGCCGCTGGGAAACCGAGTCCTCCCTCCCACCCGTCCGTCCCTCAAAGGCCAGAGCCACGCTTTGCCCGTTTTTTTTTGCCTTTGGGGAAAGGTTTGGGGTCTCCTCCGTTTTGCACGGGGGCCAGAAACGGCGCGTCGGTGCTGGAGGGGCGGGGAAGGAGCCCCTCTTCGGGACACATACGACGTGTCCCCCTTCCAACCCCGAGCCCGTTCCGCAGCGGCACGAGCGAAGAGGCACGGGGCTGCTGGCCCACGCCAGCGGTTCTAAATCCCAAACCAGTAAAACGGTGGCGGGAGACGGCGGGAGAAGCGCGGCAGCGTGCCGGGGCACGCGGCGCGGGGTGGCCACGAGTTCCTTCCCGGCACAGGCAGGATCCGTCCCTGCCGCGGGCGCTCAGCGGCAGCGCGGTGGCCGTCCCTCCCCGCCGGGGAGGCAACCGGGGCTTTTCCCGGCAGAGACACGGTCGGAGGATGCTCAAGGGGAGAGTGGGCACCGTCCCCCGGGCAGCCCCACGGCGCAGGAGCAGAGGCATCGGCTCTGCGAGGCTGCCACGCGGGGCCGAGGGACGCTGGCGCAGCAAACGCGCCGTTGGTGTGAAAAAGTCGAGTTTTTTTCCCTCCAGATAACGGGCAAAGCCTGCAGAGAAGATGCAGCCTCCGCGGCGAGGGGCTGCCTCCTCCCTGCGCCCCGCTGAGCTGGGGGCGGATGAGCCGAAAAGCCAGGCCCTTGGAGAACAAAGTGAAATAAGGAGAAAGCAGAAAAGCCAGCCAGGCTCTCCTGGCACCTCTCTCGGATCGGGAAGGAGAAGAATCCCCGAAGGTGCCAAGGGAGTTGAAATAGAGAAATATCCCTGGGGACGCGGGTAAGGGGACCCGGAGCTGCCGTCGGGCACTGGAGCATCGGCTGCCGGATCGGACCACGCGAAATGACCCAGCTGAAATGTTTAAAAGCACAGGAGGCAAACCCTTATCTTCCACAGGAAAAGAATTATTTTATTAAGTATTTTTAAACAACTACTTAACATTTACTCAAGATAAAAATATGTACAATATCCCACCTTGAAGAAGGCTCCAAAATATAAACACTGTACCTCTCCCTAGAGAAAAACAAAAAATTCTTCTCCTCAGAAAAACAAAAGACAACCCAGAAACAAGAATACATTCATATTTCTCACTTCTTTATGCTCAAGTAGTTATACAAATAAAAGACATCTGAAACATTTTACCTTTTAATATATTTATATAATATATATATATTTATTTATAACAGGATTTTACAAATAAAGGCAACAACTGTATACCAAAAAAAAAAACCAAAAACAAAAAACCAACAACAAAATAAACGTTAGAACACAATCTGCAATCAAGCATAGTGCATCTCAACAGCTGGTGCAATGGGAGGGAGAAATGAAAATCCATACAACAGGGTTTCTGGACACGAGTTCTCAAAACCAGTAAGGAAAAAAAACCCACCACAAACCAGCACTGCATTTTGCAGTGAAGTTTGGTTTTGGTTTTTTTTTTTAATTAAAAAAAAAGCCAAATTGGACATGATGTTCCTCTGCAGAGAAAGACCCTCGCAGTCTAATGGGACAAGTGTCAACACCCTAACCCTCTTTCTTTAATACAGTAATGTGGGCCAGGGTTTGCCAAGGAGACTAAGGAATTTAGATGCTCAAACCCCAGCGGGATTAGACTCCTTTGAAAATCCCAGCCTTTTAATTTTTCAAAGGCACTGACGGGGGCATATTCAGCGGGCATCGTGCTGTCGACTTGGGCTGAACTGCTCCCTCTTGCACGAAACTCTCGACTCGCCCCGGTCAGGAAGCGGCTGCTCACCGGCTGGGCCCCCGCTGGCGGGACTCGTAAAACCATTTTGATTTCCAATAGACCAGACCCGGCGAAACCGTACAGCAGCAACGAGAGAGAGGCCTGGAGTCAGGTGCAACAAGCGAAGTGATCCTTGGGATATTTTCTCCCCTACCCGGCCCAAACTAGCAGCTCAAGTTACAGGAAGGGGCGCGTGTTAATTTATTTATTAGATGTACGCCATGTAAAGCTTCCAAGCAGCATCTACCTTTTATTTCTTAAAAAAAATAATATATATATATATATATATATATCAGCAAAGGTGTGGAGAGAAACCCGTCTTAAGTCTACCTGACTGTGCATGACCAAGCAGTGACTGCTGCTCTGCTCCTCCTACGCTTTCGGTGGCATCGCCACCACCACCGACCACTCAGACGCTGGCGACTGATGATGGGGCACCAAATCAGTTCAGCTCAAACCACCAGCAGTGGGGCCGTTGCCTTAAAAGCCGTTATGAGAAGTACCGTATTTTTATATTCACAGACCCTAAAACCAAGTCTGCCTAATGGAATACTTTTTCACAGCTTTGCAATATAGTCGCAGCTGACCGAGTCAACTGTTGTTCTGTGGATGCGGAGAGGGAAGAAGGTGAGGGGTAAAGCACAAAACCCTTCTTTTTTTTTTTTCTTTTTTTTTTTTTCTTTTGGAAGTAGTTCTGAATTGCTAACCTGGGCGCATCCTTCATCCCTCTCCAAGCTACCTGACAAGTCAGAGAAAAGGGGATTTAGCTTCCTACGCGCAGTGAACCTTAACCCCACACCTCAGTCCAGCCAATATATAAAAGTGAAACAGTCTCAAACTGGGGAAAAAAAAAAAGGAAAAAAAAAAAAGAAAAAAAAAAAGTCACACTGCGCTTAGTCTTTGGTTTCCAAGTTCAAAGGAGGAATCTGCTTCAAAGCTTGAAGCAGAGCCGAGGAGTCGATAGGGGAATGGGCCGGTACAGGAGAAGGGAGTCTCTGGGGCATCAGCAGAGGTGGGGAGATTTTATCGGGGTTCATGAACCCCGTAAGCGCTGCAGCAGAGGCTGGGAGGCTGGGGTACAAGACAGGTACGGATGCCGGGTACCAGCACTTCTCCAGCATGGGCAGATAGGCTGTCGCGGATGGTGGGATCAAATAGAAAGGCAGGCACAAGGGGGGCTGGTGAGCGTGGGGGCCCAGGAAGCTGCTGGAAGAGCCCATCATGTCGCTGCCAAAAGGGCCCTCGTCCTCCGGCGACTCCAGCCTGCTCCTTTTGGCCGGCGGGTCCTCAGTCTCCTGCTTAATAGAGCTTATTCTCTCCTGGACAGCATACTTGAGTTCGGTATCCTTTTTGAAATACTGCTGTTCGGATTTGGAGTCACTTTTCTCCAGCTCTCCCCCGTACCCGCTGTCCGTGTCTGTGTCGCTGCCGCTCTGCTCCCCGCTGGAGTGAGCAAATGTCCTCTGGATCACAGGCACACAGTTTTTCCCATGTCCCTCTGCCGTTTTGGTCAAGGAGACGGGTTTCTCTTTCAAGTCCACCATTTTAGGAGGGATGTCTCCGGACTTGCGGCCGGCTCCGCCCTGGAGCACCTCGGAGGCCATTCGGTGCAGATGGCTGACCAGCTGGGACGACTTCAGGTCCTTGCCGTTCTCGTGCTTTGCCAGGTATTGCAGCATTTCTTTGGCACACATCTGGAAACCGGATCGAAACATTTCCTGGCTGGAATCAAGGTTTCTTGATGACAGGTCACCTGAGGAAACATTAACAGAAAGAAATTAAAAATTAACAACGTGCTAAATAGTTCCGCTGACATCTTTGAGGCGGACTGGAGGTGATATTAAACTTCGGTTACAGCACAGCTAGAGAGGTGAACTTGATGGTCGACCTGAACTTTGCATACATTCCCTCGACTTCTGCATAAGCGTACGTTTTTATTTGAACACCCGTCCGCTTTCAGGTGGTAACTTTAAACCTCTTTTTCAGTTCCGTATTTACTGTATATGCCACCTTCAACAGGTGCTGAAGTACGGAGCAAAGGAGTGAGCGAGTCGAGCTGGTGCCTTCTCTGGGAAACACCCCGGGGAAGGCAGAGCGCAACTCGCCCTTCTCCTCCGGGCAGAGAGCTCCCGCAGCACGTCTACCCGCCAGCAGCTCCGCCAACCTCGGGCGATTTTGCTTCAGCTTGAAGCTCTACTGCACTCCCTGTGGCTGTCAGAGCAGTGGAAGGCTCTTCAGAAAAACTAAATTTTACTTTATCAGATTCACGTGAGTGCCACATGTGAAAACAGAAGGAGGAAGTACATCTAAAGCATGATAAGCTGACACACCGGGTCCCCTCTCTGCCTGCAGAACACAGGCTAGCTCCTTGACAGACACCTAAACAAGGCGTGTATAAAGAGCAGATTTATACCTATTTTTCAGAGAAAAAAACCCAACCCAAACAAACAAAAACTGGGTTTGAGCCAAAGCTCACGAACACGAATGGGAAGATTCGAATGGCTTTGGAGGGAACCTCACAGCAAACCCGGGCTTTAAATAAAACTACTTAAAATCCAATTTAATTTCAAAACAACTCCACAGGGCACTCTACATTGACCATCCTGAGAAACGCATCTTTTTCTGCAAAAGCTCGTAAGCCAAGCAAGAGAAAATGACGGCGATTAAAGGCAAGAACTCCTGCCTCCTCCCTTCTCAGGAACGAAGTGTCACAACTGCATTTCAAAGACTCTGAGAGAAAGTCCGTCAAGCGCATGCAGGTTCTCACACGATACGATTTGAATACTCACCGGCTTGTAAACCATTCTGCAAAGCAATTATTTTCTGCTGCTGCTGCTCAATGAGATTGGTTAGTGCTTTCACATGCTTCAAGGTGAGCTCGAGAACCACAGCCTTCTCCAAGTGACCTAGCGTCTGAAAGCAAAGGGACAGGTTGGCGCCTGCCGTGGGGTCGGCCACGCACGCAGGAGCCTGACGGGGCGGCCAACGTTTTCCGAAAAAGAGCGGAAGGACTGACGCGGTTTGGAGAAAAGGCTTAAGGGCAGAGCCTTGATCCCGAATGGTACGGGACTATGAACGACAATATTCCATGAAAATTAAGTTAAACGGCAGGCTCCAGAAAAGCCTATCACGGAATCCTATGGGTATTTTCGGACCAGCCACATAGCTCAAAGAGAAGTAATTTGTTTATCTGCGCTGCTGCCCCTGCCGGCATCGCGACCTTAGCACAGGGGAATCCGGCCGGGGGCCCCCCCCGGCCCCCGCGGCGGGGGGGGGGGGGGGGCAGTTCCCGCAGGATCCCCGCACCTCCCGGAGTCCTCCCGGGGAAGTTTGGGAGGCGATTACAGCCCACCCGGGGCGTGGGGCACGGGACACAAGGCTGGGGGGCAGAAAAATAAATTAAGAAAAAAAAAAAACCCCAAAACCCCAAACCCACCAAACCCCCGCAGAAATGACAGGCAGAGGCCCGGCCGCCGGGGAACCGCTGTCAGCGGCTGGGTCCAGCCCCGCCGGCATCGGCGGGCGCCGGGGGGGCCCCCCCCGGGGGG